TGGAATTGTGTTTCTGGTCACACTGAAATACAAAATTTTTCATTTTTAGGTCCCCTGCCCCCATAGCCAATAGTATCTTTTCATCGAATCTGGAACTAGTGTTTTTAATTGAAAATTGTACACCAGTCAATGCACTTCCGTTGCGTTAAAACATGGAGGCTGCAAAACCTTGTAGTATTTTATATACATGATGTAATTAAAAAAAATAAAATCATAGAAGTCTCTTTCAACCGATAAAGCTTTGGTAATTTATTTGAGCACATTATTTATTTTCGTGTTATTCTGTTAACATTTCAATTCAGTATGATATAATTAACTTATTGGGTACAAACGTCATAAGATAATTACCGTAATTGCTTCCTATTTTTGAAATAGATGCATCGAGTATATTTTCCTTTACAATTTTCCGCCATGATACTTCTCCAACTTTACAGTGCATGTGTAACTACGTTTAGAACACTACTAAATTATAAAACGAGTTTAGAACACTAAATGTTTACCTACACTTGTTGAACAATTGTAACGGAATGACTCTTTAGCGCAATATCATTTAGGCATTATTTGCAGTTTCTTAATTATGAGAAAACAAATAGCGGGCATGCAGTACATTCATTTGTTTGATTTCAATTTTAATTGAATTGTATTTGCTTGAATGTTGGACATTGAACTTATTGACAAAAGTGTCTTACCAATACATAGTTTTCCAGTAACTATACTTTCAACAAAAATTGGTGTACTTTAATGTTATATGTTGTATGGATGATAACAAGATTCTAACTATTTTTGTTTTTTATTTTAATTGTGAGTATAAGTTTGGGATATGATATATATTCGATCGCCAGTTAACTCCCAGTTCTATCAGGCAAATACCTGAGACCGGATAAGTATCACACTTTTCCCAGCTGGTCTCACAGTTATTTACAGTATACTGTATATCTTAACTGATTTCTTTGCTAATAATCATTTATTTATTCAAATTTATTATTTTTCGAAAAAAAAAATGGATGTTGACCACACCATCTTTTTCCTAGCAAATAGCTACTAGATATATCTATCTCTCAAAATTATTTATCAAAATTCATTCAAATTTGTCAGATTAAACAACAATAACTCTTATATAAACATTTTCTGTTTTTATAGAGAAAAGATACATTCAATGGTCGTAATATAACATAATCAACTTTGAACACGTTTTTTTTTATCTTAATTGCTACACGTGTTAAGCAACCAGATTCCAGATACTGAACATACTGAATCTCATTTGTCCATATTCATGATATCTATCTATCTCTGGAGACTACCAACCATATATATGGTAAAATATACATTTAGAAAATAACATTTAAAGTAAACTAAGCTTTTGCATTTTATACAAATATTTACAAACACTTATTCAGCATGAAACATATTGATACAAATAAAGAATGTTTATAGCCTGTAAACTTTTACCATACGCTTAAGCAATTCAAGATGTCTTATCGCCTTAAGCAGTAACATAAATTTTGTTTACATCTCATATATAACCACCTAGCAAAACTTATATAGAGAATATCCAGTGTATGTAAACATCTCTCAGTCACTAAGCACCATCTTAATTTAAGCAGTATATTTTGTTACTATTTCTCACCAACCTATAGAACCATCTAAAGCAATTCATTAAGTCTTTGCTATCAAGTACCATCTACACATAAGCCCCACTTTAAGCAGTATAAAAGGTCTAAGTTAAGATCTAACCAATATAACACACCCTTAAGCAGAATATTCAGTCTTTATTAAAATCTTTCAACCTCCTATCACCGTCATAAGCAGTTTTTTCCGTCTGTTAACATCTCGAATCTATCTATCACCACTCTCAGAACATACCCAGTCTTTGTTAACATCTCTACCACACATGGTATCGTATTAAGCATTATATTAAGTTTTGTTAACATCTCTAACACATAGGTATCGTATTAAGCATTATATTAAGTTTTGTTAACATCTCTACCACACATGGTATCGTATTAAGCATTATATTAAGTTTTGTTAACATCTCTAACACATAGGTATCGTATTAAGCATTATATTAAGTTTTGTTAACATCTCTACCAGACATGGTATCGTATTAAGCATCATATTAAGTTTTGTTAACATCTCTACCAGACATGGTATCGTATTAAGCATCATATTAAGTTTTGTTAACATCTCTACCAGACATGGTATCGTATTAAGCATCATATTAAGTTTTGTTAACATCTCTACCAGACATGGTATCGTATTAAGCATTATATTAAGTTTTGTTAACATCTCTACCAGACATGGTATCGTATTAAGCATCATATTAAGTTTTGTTAACATCTCTAACATACATGGTATCGTATTAAGCATTATATTAAGTTTTGTTATCATCTCTACCACACATGGTATCGTATTAAGCATTATATTAAGTTTTGTTAACATCTCTACCAGACATGGTATCGTATTAAGCATCATATTAAGTTTTGTTAACATCTCTACCAGACATGTTATCGTATTAAGCATTATATTGAGTTTTGTTAACATCTCTTCCAGACATGGTATCGTATTAAGCATTATATTAAGTTTTGTTTACATCTCCCATCCATAGCCTCTCCATAGAAAAAAATATATATTTAAAACAGATGATAATTTTTCATTTAAAATTGAGATAAATTACATTAATTTATAGAGGACTCTCACCCATAGCCTCTTTTATTTAAATTTAACTATAGAACTTCTACCCAAATAGGTTTGTTTAAACGATTTCTTCTGATAAGATAGAGTGTCGTAATACGCCCGGGTATTCTATTTATACATTTTGGTTACCGGTTTTTATACAATAGACATAGTTATTATAGATCTACTTATTATTTTCAAAAGGTACAAATGAATAATAAGGTATATCGGTTATTTACTTCTTGAAATTGACTAAAGTTTGCATACACAAAAAACAACTATATCAAATTTCTACCAAAACTCGTTAAGATAACCTTGTATCATTTACTTTCCGCCTGATTAAAGGTTTTTTATAGAGCTGGGGCATATTTTACAGTTCATTATCCAATAATGAATAGAGCTTATTTACAAAGATATATATCGCTGTAGACTTATTGAAAACAGTTAAAAGTTGTCCACCTAACAGAAAACATATATACATTCTATGTAAGTTCCATGTCTGAACCTTCATTATCTAGATTAGCGGCTCAAAGAAATTGTACCAGTCGAATGTATGTCGATAAAAACAAGTTAAAAATAATAACAAAAAAAAATACATAAATTATTCAAAAAGTAAAAACTAATTTGTGGTATTAGATATTATACAAACGTTATCAAACAATATAGTTTATTACATGTATTGTACATATAACACCTTTGTTCGAAGTAAAACAGTGACAAGTTAAACAGCTATAATAATCTGAAAAAAAGTTCCATATATCATAGAAATTTAATGCATTTAAAGAAAATAAATTACTTTTCTTTATTGAATTCTTTTAAATGACATGAAAAATATATATTTGAAACAAATGATAATTTCATTTAGAATTGAGGTAACTGAGATTAATTCATAAAAGAATGATACTATCTTGATATAACGTTCTTTGATAAGTCTTCTTGCGCGAATATACATGAATGATTTTTATACAAAGGAAAGAATTGATATGACATAACTTTAAATGATGAATAGTTAATTTGATATAAAACCTTGACACAGAAAGAGTATGACGGTGTTCTTAATTTGTGGTAAGTATTCAATAATAAAATACATTTTGATACAGTAAGTAAACATCACCATTCTAAGATAATAAAAAAGCTATAAAACCTCTATTGGCCGATATGTTAACTTTCAAGGGGAAATAAAAAGGAAAAATCAGTCAAACTTTAATTTGATTAAGCAGTTGAACATATTAAGGCAGGTATCTAAAATTATCAATGGTATGTATGCAAAAGTAGTCAAATATTCGTTGACAATTTCAAATACTTTGTAACCTTTGCAGAATTGCCTACTGTAAAGAAAACACTTCTTTCCAACAACAATTTCTAAGTAAATTTTGTTTCACTTTTCTTAACGTCAGTAGAGCTACACCTCTCAATAACAACTTAATCGTTGTCTCCCAAAGGGTTTTGCTCCGAAGATGTTGATATGTAACGAATTGTCCTCGTTAATTATAAATAAGTAGAATCTATCTTGGCAGAAATTATTAAGTTTAAATGCTTATTACTACTCAGAATACCCTTTGAAAGAGCAGTGTTCGTTCTTTTTCAATTGTGAACAGAGGTAGACTTAAAAAATATTTAAATCAAATATCGTCCCGATAAATATTTAATAAAAGCAGTAATCAATGTATGTGAATTTGTATGATAATTGAAAAATTAGGTCTACTTATTTAAAGACATCAACTGACTTATATCAATTAATAATATATACTATTCTAGCAATTAATATTTTCTAACATTAATACTTTTTAATACTTAACAAAAATTGACTAGAAAGTGTTTGAATATGATTTGATATTCACTAGTATAATGTCATAAACAAATGTTTGTCAACAAGACCATCACACGACAAAACTTACAGCCGGTATGAATTAAGACCGCCTAAGGCAAACCAAGCGGTATGTCCACAAAGTCCGCCTAAGGCAAACCAAGCCGTATGCCAACAAAAGTCCACCTAAAGCAAACCAAGTGTTAACAGACCCGCGACAATGAAGAATTAAAAAATTATGTCAAGTCTACATAAGAAGGTTAATTCAGTTGTCAACGTATCTACCTAAAAATTTGAAATATTAAATTTATTCCGTTTATAATGCCATTCATCGGTTAATTTTTCACTGTTTTACCAAATATATATTTAATAGATAATATAATTTTTGTCACTTCCTAGCTTCTTTGATCATAAACAATCAAACATTAAATATAATGAGCTCTCTAGTATGCACATGACATCTACATTCTCATAATCACAAAATGTGAATATTAATGAGACATAATCAATTAAAACTTACCGCAAGTTGTTCTTATGTGTTAAAATGTTTATCCCGGACTTTCTTCGGCCATCTTGACATATCTCCAATGTAATGGCACCTTATTGATTATCCATAATGGATTTCAGAACGAATTGAATGTAAAACTACCACGTGACTTTGCTGTACGTATAAAAAAGTCCAATCATTGGGTAGTAGGCAATTGAACAAGTAAAAACATGTGTTTCGTTAAAACATAAATGAAAGGTTTGCATTACATATAAGATCGGTCGATAGATCTGAAAATAAACCAAGCTATTTCTCAAATAATTTAGGTCTTGATTGAATATGATACAAGACAAGTTTTATGTATTTAAACGAGCTAAATTATAATATGTAGATAGTGCGTCAAATAACACGAAGATATATAAATGGGGAAGAGTGTGGGTGAGATATTTATCCGGTGTTGTAATATTCAAAACAAATATGTCTTGACTTAAACAGATCCTGTTGAAAAAAGTGTGTCCGTTAAATACTACAATTTGATTTAGTATTGATCAATAACTTATAAACGAGAAACCAATATTCCATCAAAATATATTTAATGATGCTTAATGGAATAACAATTCAACACATATTTATATATGATCATAAAATTTAGCTAAATGCTTCGGTATAACTATGCAGTCACTTAGTCCCATATCAGAAATCCTTTAAAATAACAACTAAAATAGGGAAAGAATAAACAATTTAAATCATGTTTATGTAAATGTTTGTTTGCTTGTTTGTTCTTCTATTCATGTTAGTTCAGTCTATTCATGTTAGTTCAGTATAGATAATATACTTTCTAACAAAGGCACTTTAAGCAGTTTTCAGACCTAACATATATTGGAAATTATAGCTCAACATACTATTAGATTAAATTTAGTGGAGAAAAAAAAAGATAATTTAAATTATGTCTATGTTCCAACCTAATCATTGTTGAAAGTATTAAAGTAAATTAATACAATATTCTTATCAATATTAAAGAACTCCACTGAAAACGAGCGACAGACCTTAATCATATCATGTGAATTTCTTACAATTATAAAACTTGAACTGTTTCAAAAAATGTGCTAAGGATAATAAAGGGATATACCCAGGAATGAATTGAAAATCGAACTGGTGTGCTATATTTTGACCCAGTTTAGTTTGGAGCGTAAAAACGTGTTTTTTTTGTTCTGTTTGTTATCTACAATAGAATTAATGCTACATTAATTGTGAACAAAATATGAAAGTCATATCTGTAAACCTCTATGGAAAGCATCAAAGATGATAAACAAGATCAACATGGAAAGGCGGCGTTCAATGAACGCAGTCCCCGTATGGCTCAGCAACAAGAACCAGTGGCAAGGAGCCCAGGTGGACCCCAAACAAAAACAAGACAGGGCAAAGACAGAGCACGGACAGGTTAATCACTAAATGATAACTAATTTGTAACTGATTAGGAATTCAAAGAAAACAAATAAGTGATTGAATAATAGGCCCACAAAGGGGAAGGGGACAGGAGACCGGGGGAAGGGGGGGGATTAATCAAAGAAAGAAAAACTAGAGGTAATGGGGAAGATATCAAAGATGAGGTTGTCAATGTGTTTAGAGCACGTTAAATGTTAAACAAGTGCACAATAAGCGCTTACTTATTACATGCAGTAGCTTATATGTGTCGCATATGTTGTAAAATATAACATAAAGAAGTACTTTGACTCTACAAAACTATTAAATCACTACGTTACCCAAGAGCACAAAAAATACATTAAAAGTTTTTGAGAAATAAGAAATAAACATAGTAGCATGTCAGGGGCTTAATGGGCCTTTGGCTTGATTTTAAGTTAAATTATAATCAATAACTTAAACGAAATGAGTCAACTACATATTGTACGATATCCGGAAATTTTCAAGATTTTGTTTGCTTGGGTTTTACGTCACAACGATACAGTATAGGTCATATGGCGACGTTCTAGCTTTACTGATGGAGGAAGGCCTCAAGTGCCCTTTCGTGCATTATTTCTGTCATGAACTGGCACCTGAGTAGAATCATCGACGTCCCGTAAGCTAGCTGCATAGCTTCCTCACAATGAAATAGTGCTTATGCTTTGTAAACCCATACACTTCATCGACCTTTTCATGCTTATTTGCTAATCTAATAACGTCAATAGTTATACAAATTTGCACCCTGCTTTAATCCAATGTGTATTGGGCGTTTTAATTTTTCTTATATCTAATGGTTTTCTAACGTGGACATATAAAATTAACAAGATTTGGCCATTTCTACCCGTTCACCGTCTGTTCTATGCTAGGTCAACCAGAATGAATGGAGAATCTATTACCGCATAGTTAAAAATATGATGACAAAATATCTCAAAAAAGGAGCGACTACGGGGTACGCCACCCGCAATGTTGTCGGGCTATCTCTATCTAGAATTTAAATAATATCTTTATGTACAAAGCTTAAACCAGTGTGTAGGCTCCTGCAAGCAAATCGTTATTTGGAGATTTCTCTTAAAGGGAATCCACTGAGGTTTAAAATCCTAAAAACATAATATTTGAAATTCATACATAAATGAGCTGGGGCACTTTAAACAGAAATATATGCAAAGATAGTTAAGAAATATACTTTGAAATAAATTGAAAATCGTATTTTTATGATTTTCTTAGCCTGATTTGAGTGAAATGTGTTTTTCATTTTGGGTAATCTTTTACAATTTGAATAATAATTCTGGAAAAAAAAGTGCGAGAATGATCTGAAATTTTTCACAAAGATTAATGGTCTAAACCTACATCAAATGGTACATTTATCTGGAAAAAATATTTTCAGTCCCATCATGTCAAAATACCTCAGTGGAGTCCCTTTAAAGAATAAACATCAACTCTCTTGTTCGGTAAGGAGTATATTTCACGAAAAAATATATATTTGAATACCCGTCTGAACAGCGATTTCTAGCAATTTGGACATGCTAATAGTTGTATCTATCATTATGGATATTGATAAGCGGCATTGCATGTTAAAGCGAAAAAAAATGATAATTTCATCAATCGATGGAAAACATTCACTAATTTCAGAAACGTTTTCAAACACTATTGGAAACTTTAAAATATTGATCATATTATTCTCGTTACAGGTAATAATAATAATATCAAATGGTTTTATATATAACTTGGGCCATAACTTCAATTGATTTAAGTAAACATGTGTCATCATTTGTTTGCATGCTACAAAGTTTTGTACTTCGACCAGATATTTTATTTTACAGTTTAATAAATATATATCAAAAATCTAACACATTCAATGCTTCTTTCAATTCTAACGTTCTAAAATATTTGGCATTATTGTAAAGATGATTGTCGTAAAATTATTGATATTTGTGAGATAAAAACTTGTTTCAATAATTGTTTTGTATTTTATATTTAACTTCTTTAGAAACTCTGATTTATTTTTAGATAACATAAAGCATTGAATTTTGTTTTGCGTCATATCCACATAGACTACTTCACTGTCTATTGTCGAACGTTTAAAAATAATTATATCTTATAGTATAACATTAAATATGAAAATTGGCTGGGGATAATAGAAATAATTATACTAGGTATCATTTTTCCTAATTTTAAACTTTATGAATACAAAGTAGGTATTGATTTAAGATAGTTATCTAGATATCGACAAAGACCTTTTGTAAAAAGAATTTTAAATATCGCATACCTACAAAAGAAGGAAATATATATGAACATTTAATTGTTGGCACAAAAATAAAAAAAAATCTTAATTGTACATGTAAACGTATGCTTATTTATATTATATTGATATATTCACCGTAATACGGAGCTTAACGTCTTCGTATGCCAACTATAACTAAGTAGTTAATAATAAAATTTGTTTACTTTATATCATTTTGACAATGACTGTAATAAAGCGTCGGCGTTAAACATAGCTTTCCACTTGTCTTAGTAACAAAAGTGCAAAACGTATGTTCACTTGTTAAGAATATTTAATTCATTTATAATCAAATGTCAATTGTACTGTATACACATGTTTAAACTACAATATTGCCATAGCCCTAATTTAATAAAGTACAGGTTAATGTGTCAAACCCTTGCGTGATCAAGGGTTTTGTATTACACTCGCTATATATATTTAACCTTCTTGTTGATCGATTTACGTACCAAAAATTATATGATCATAAAAATAGCTCTAATTCGTGGAAGATTCTACGAAGTAATATAAAGGTACAGAACGTATTTTCACTGGATAAGAACATTTAATTCATTTACAATCAAGTGCAAATTGTACCGTAAGCCCTACTTTATCAAAGGAAAGGTAAACATGTCATACTTCTTCTACGTGATCTAGGGTTTTGTATTACACTTGCTTTTTAACCGAAGAATAATATTAGCTAAAAATAGTACTTATTTGTGGCAAAGTCATATATATTTTTGGCAAAGTCATATACAAACAAATGTTTTTTGTCTGAAAATATAAATATTTATTTTTCTGTTAATTTTTAACACCATTATTGCATATTCTTTGTTTGTTTAACTTATACTTTAGCTTATTGTCTTCATTTATCAGCCATATTTTTGCACAATGAAAATATGTTAAAAAGAAAAGAAAAAGATAAGAAAAAAAAAAAAAAACATCAAAAAGCGCCAGATTATATGTTATCTTAAAAGCATAATATATTTTATATGTGCCTAACATAGTGAGCATATCTCAAGAAATAAGTGACAAATAATTCGTTTAGTAAAGTTATTAACGTTTGACGGCTATTGACATAGTTGTTTTGGTGTTGAGCACTGTATTCAAAATGTCAAGGCTATAAAGTTATAAAGATAAGTATACAAAACAAGAATATCAAATTTCCAATAACGTGCCAATTGCACTGTTTATACATGTCAAACTAAGGTGTTTGCAAACCTTGGATCCACAAGGTTAACATAAATCATACTTCCTTTGTGTGATCTAGGGTTTTGTTTTACGTTGAAAGAATAATATCATCTTAAAAATGTTCTTATTTGTGGAAGAATTCTCGCGATATGTCTACTGTCTATTAAACAAAACAGACATGTTATTGGTCCATGTACTT